CCCCGCGTGGAGGCCCTCGGTGCCGGGGTGCCAGCGAGCCGGACCAGCTGCTGCGGAGCAAGGCCCTGCTGACTGGAAAATTCCTCTTCGCGCCGCCCGCTGCCTCTGCCTGGGGAGCCGCGGGGAGAAGGGGAGCCCGCAAATGGGGGAACGGGACAGTTAAGGATTTGTAGTGCCTCTCAGCAAAAAACGATGCCTGCCTCTTGTCGTATTTTGTAGCTGCGCTTAAGTTCGCAGCACCGAGCCCCTTGTTCGCAGCACGCTGTGAGCCAGCAGGCTGGCCAAGCACTAGCGCTTCTGCCCTGGAGAAGTATATAATTTGTAAAGAATGGACAAATAACTTCTTAAAACAATCTTTTTATTTAACAGTATCAGGGGTAGGATATTCAGGTTTTAAAAAAACAACGATAATAAACAAACCCAAACAGTTTTACTGATGTCTGTCTGCCCTGAAGCCTGTTCTGCTCTTGCGGGGTCAGCGAGGCCTTGCTTTTTGCCGTACTTCAGAGGTCTCTGGTGCGAGCCCGAGCAGCGCTTACCCAAGGGCCTGACCTCTAGATGCAACGTTTGTGACCCGTATATAAACTTCCTGCTTTTTTGCACTTGCCGTTTGCTCTGTGTGGAAAAAAATAAGCTTTTACCTTGATTGGAGCTTGGCGATAACCTCCAAGCTGGGAACCAAGCGGAGCCTGCCCCTCTGGAAGGGCTGGGAGCCACAGAGCTCTCGCTACTTCTCCGTCTTCCGGCTGTTTTCCTTGTAGCTTCCCATTAAACTTGAAACAAGGTAGTCATAAAGTAAACTGCCCAGTAACCTGGTGACATGAATTCTTCGTAAACCGTTACAGAAGCAATCATGTCTGTCACAGAGTATTTCACCGAGTCATCTAGGCTGTTGTTACCTGCTCTCCTCTTTCTTCTTTACGTGAAAGAGCTGGGACACCTCGTGTACCTCACATAGGGCTGGTGGTTGCTTATTGCTTAAAAAAGTGGTTTGAGATTTCTTGGTGAAATTTTCTGGTAGGTTATTAGCATTTATTTTACTTTTTTTTACATTTTTTAGAACAATTCATGGAGTTGATTTTGTTTAATTATCATTTGGCTTGATTACATTCACAACAGTAATGAACTGGTGTTCTTCAGAGTGGTGAAATCATTGTAACTAGCATAGAGAGGAACAATTTCCTCTTCCCTGACTTTTTTTTTTTTTCTTTTAGCTTATGAAATGCTGTAAAGTTTATTATTTTTCCATTACAGAACGAAGACACGGTTCAATGTGTAAACCTTCCCCTTCTCCAGCTTCTCCAGCCTGTAATTCCAGGACATCCCTAGTACAGATGAAACCGAAATCCTGTATCAGCGGCCATAACCCTGTCAGCAGCAACTCAAAGCCATTCAAAACGCCCAAAGACAATCTACTTACCTCCAGTAGCAAACAGCACACAGTTTTTCCTTCAAAAGTATCACGGGATAAACCATGGTAAGTACCAAAATAACAGTTACTGAAGATGTTAGTGTTCAAAAAAATAGTAAGTATCTCGACATGTATTTTACAGTCATCAAAAAAATCCATATTCTCATCTTATCTTAGCTTACCGTTTAAACCTTTACATTTCCTAAGGGCAGAAACTGGGATGGTTTTAAATTTAAAAAAAAACATATATATATATATATAGGAAGAGGAAAAAAGGCTGGATTACTTTTCTGGTGTTCCATCGAGTGTCTGCTTTTTTAAGATGCATGTAGCAAGTGAGATATTGACCCAGTTTGCTATCTTTATGGTCCATCTTTCATTACAGTATCAGCCCTTAAAACTGATGCTTTTAAACAGTAGGATAATTTTTGCAGAGTTCTTATTATTGGCTTAACTAATGTTCATGAAAACTTACTGGTTATAGTAATTTATCTTCAATAGCAGCTGCTGTTGGAGTTCATTCTGTAATTTGATAATGTTTGATGCCTTATAAGAAGACAGAAGAAAATTCTGGCTGCGAAAATCACTATTTTGGGGGCATCTTACATCATCTACTGTTATATATATATATACCTACAGGCTTTGAGACTGCCAGACCCATCCTCCCGTGACTGATGATAGCAGCAGAGTTGCAAAAATGTAAATGAGAGCAGAACTGGGTCACTATTTTATAAGAAACTGTTTTGTCTTTAGTTATCTACAGAAAAGATGCTTTGTGATTAGGTCACTAGGTTGGTGACTCAAGATGTGTGTTCAGTTCCTGGTTCTGCACAGGCTACTGTAACGCCTTACTCTCCTCGGCCTCAGTTCTGTGTCTGTAAACTTGAGATAGTAAGACTTCCTTTTTCTTAAGTTTTATCTACTTACTGTCTAAAGATCCTTCCCTTTTATATGTAATATCTAGCATAAGAATGTCATGATTTTATGTAGGGTTTCTGGACACAGCTGCCTTAAAGCAGTAAATAATCTAATGCAAACCGTTCACACATGAGACAAAGCATAAACCCAAATGATGTTTAAGTAATAGCTCATGTTTTCTGCCTGAAACGTGCGCTAGCTGGTATGGTTTCAAAGAGAGCAGCTTTTGCCTAGCTGTAGAATTTACCTCACACTGGAAAAAACTTGATCAAAATCTAATCTTCATATAAATCTGAGCCGACCATCTCTATAAGCACGATAACCATTATGGACAATTATGGTATATAATGCTGAAGATAGAACATCTGGATGTTTCTATTACACACACACATACACACATGATATAGAGGCTGTTCTAGTTAAGGTATGCCTCATTTACTATTTAAAAAGAAATATTATTGACTGAACAGTGACCTTTTCTTCTGAGTGTTGGAGAGGAATTTTATGCAAGAGAGGATTTGGTTTTTTAAGTCTAATTAAAATAAAATCAGAAAGGACTTCAGAGTATTAACACTATTGACTATAAACCTGTTTCTCATCCTAGCATTACAGACAGCAACTTACACATCCACATTTCAGCATACTAACTGAATCTGTAAACAATATCTTCCGTTCTGGCAACAGATGGCATTCTGTCAGTCAGTAAAAGCTGGAAGGGAACAAAATAACTGAGCATTTCCACCAATCCCTTTTGCCTTTATTGGGAACATCCCAAACATTTACTAATGATTAACAAGGTAGATCTAGCTGTTTGAAACTGTTGTACTGCTCTGTTAATACTTCGGCAATGAATATGTGAGTAGTTGTACCTGTGAATTTACCCAATTCTTACAGCTCTGCTGGGAGAGAGTACTGGGGTTTTGTTTACCAGTGGGGAAAAAAGAGGCATACAGTAGTTAAAGATACTGTAATAGTCACATAACAAATCACAAACAGTCTGAAGTGGAGATCAATGAAATTGTCTTTCAAAATTAGTGTCAAGTGCCTTAGATTACATGAGTTGTTAAAGAATAAAATCAGTCTGATAATCATCACAGGTTATAGAGAGCTGGCAGCTCTCTGTAAGGGGAATTTCTATTAGGGAAGAAAGTGTTTGTTCCTATTCCATTAGTGGATTATAATTTTTATTTAGAATTCTAGAAAATATTCAGCAGGTCTGATTTTCTTCAAGGAGAAATTATTGATAAAATTTATTCTTTTTTTAAGGTAAGATTGTATCTTCCACTCAGCTGTCTGTACAAGCTATAGAATTTCACACTTATCTTTTAGAAGAAATACTCAATTGACACAAATACATTTGTCTCAAAAATGCTAGTAGGATTCATCGTGTATCCAGGCGTGTTGTGGTTTATCATCCTCAGAAGCTTCCAGTTATTCAGTGCTTTTGTCTGTTACGCTGTAGTCTCGTACCACAAATGCTTACTTTACATCAGTTCTTCCAGACAGTTATCAAATTAGCATAATGCAGCAATGTTATCACTTTTAATGATTGCTTTCCAGGCCTGGAATAACCTTTGTTGTGCTTGCCTGATTCTTTCATACAGCATCTCTTTGAAATTTTAGCTGTTACAATTAGTAGTAGTATTTCAGCAATGGCCTCAGCAACAGCATGGCCCAGCAGATCTGTCTGTTGTCATGCCTGACTACATGTAGACCCAACTCTTCGTTGTTTAATTCATTATAGTTTTGGTTGAGTCATCATCTTAAACATTGACCGAGTAGCTGTTTCTCTTCTTCACACCCTGTGTTGTTCTAGGATGTGCTGCAGAGGTTCAGGTTGCTCCTTGGCTAATGCTTTAAAAAGCATGAGCAGATGAAAGAGATCTGTGTCATTTTTGTAGTCGCTGTTTTAATACTTCCCTTCTTGTAGTTAGAATATGAAGGATTATTGCAAATGCATCATCCAGAAATATCTGTCAGCTCTGATTTTTTTTCCCTGTATGTCTCTAACATCGTTGCTATTAATATAGCAGTGCTTAGAGACTGGAGCAGTGCTGGAGCACCGCTGTGCTGTGCACAAAATAAATGTAAACCATCGTTTTCTGAAGCTTTCAGTGGAGGTGGTTAAGAGGTGTAGCAAAAGGGTAGAAAATAGAGAGAAAAAGGCAAAGAGTAAGAAGATTGGTGGTAATAACAACAATAATGAGCAAGTGATCATAATAAGAATACCCCAGACACCCTTTATAAAAGGCATTCCTGGGGCCCGGAACTCTCTCCCTCTCTGATGACCTGCCCCAACGATGCCGCTTCGCTTGTTGTGCCCCAGTGCAGCTTCTGAGCACTGCCCTGGAGGATTTTGGTGCTGTGATGCTACAGGGTGTTCATTTCCGCCCACCTGTGATCCTGAGGCATTGTAAAGTTGGGGTAAAGTGTTAAAGTAGGCTAGCCCTGTGACACCAGCTGAAGCAAGTCACCCTGACCTCCCTCCATGAGGATCAGCCATTGCCTGCCAGAAGTTCAGAAAATGAAGAGAATGAGATAGGAATTATGTTGTTTTCATCAACATGTAGAAAACTGACAATCTTTCTGTGAACAGAAATAGGATCACAAAGTTATACCTATGGGTAATCATTTAACATTTATAATGTCAACCTTTCAAAGGATTTTTTTAATCATCTCTCAGGTTTTTTTTCTTTGTGTTAGGAAATTATTCATACTGAGGTTGAGAAAGTGAAGTTAGTCAAGATTTGAGGATATTCCTAATGCAGCATGGAATTGGAAACAAAATTCAGCAGACTTAATTTGAACCACATAACCACTAAATCACAAATACCTTGTTACATTACAGAGGCGATCCCAGCAATGTAGAATAGAACAATGTTTTATGTTTTTAAATTTTTGTGAATTTCTTTTCTCACAAATTTGAAGACAGTTGAATGAGTGGCTGAGGTTTTTAGAATGCATATAGTTTTGAGTGACCAGGAAAAAAACAGCAAAATTACATAACAGCAAGGAAAAATAATTTCAAAAAGTCTGAAGAAAGGAAAGCAGATGTAATAGGGAGCTACGGGTATAAGGAGTGTTGCAACATACTACAGTTATTTTTCTTGCTTGGGAATGACAGTGACAAGCAATGGCTTGGAACTAAAAAACATTGCCACAAGATACTTAGGAGGGAAATTCAGTCCTGTTTCAGGAGTTTGTCACAGGTTCTGCTGAAGGAGTTGGCAGGACAGAATAGAATAGAATAGAACTAAACTATGTCAGTTGAAAGGTACCTATGATGATCATCTAGTCCAACTGACTGACCAAGAACATGAGAAGACAGAAGGAAATCAGTTATCTTACCTGAAAGAGAGAATGAGCTTTCGAAGCCTGTCATGATCAAGCACTTTGTGTAGCCCTCAGGTGTTTTTGTAGCCTTTCTCTGGTTCCCTTCTAATTCCTGAAGGACAAAGGGGTCCAGGAAGGC